TAACGCGGTCTAACTCGGCCTTGGGGACTTGGGAGCACTGGATTACCAGCCGTTGTGTGCCTGTCCCCAGACAGGCCCATTACTGAATTCCCGTTGCACTGGAATTCCCCGCGGGGCTCCTGCAGTCATGAGGGACACCCTGGACACCTCCACATGGGTACTTAGTCACCTCAGAAGACCTGAAATTCGGGTTGGAGGGAGAAGTGCCCCTTGTCTTCGGAGCTGAGTGAGTTCAGGCAGTAATTTTTCCTGCCAAGGGTTTTGTTCAGACTCTCAGAAGGCAATTCCAATTGAGAAGCCAAAGTTAAAAACCAGCCACCCATTCTTTTTTTTCCTGTTCTGAGGTATTTCGGCTCTTATCCTTACCCTCGGTTATCTCAACTCTTCACTTTTGGTTCCATGTTGAGGATTTTTTTTAAACAGCTCGGATAAAGTCAGAGCTTCTTACCTTGAAATGGGGAGACCCAGAATTCCAAGAAAAACTTGCCCCGGTCCACCCGACGCAAAGTGAGGAGCCGGTGGGGCACGGGGTCCGGGTCTGCCAGGCGGTCCTGCCTGTGGGCGTCTTTGGAATCCTGCTGCACGATACCAAGTCAACGTCGACCTAAGAAACGTGCGAACTGAGAAAGGTGGTAAGACGATTGGAGTCCTGGTGCCGGCTGTTAGCAGTGCTGTCCGCTCTCTGTCCTTGGTCCTGCAAGGGAAGAATTGAGAGCCGAGACATCTAGTGCAAGAGGAAGTTTATGCAGCGTGCGAAGTGAAAGTGCACTCAAGGGAGATTCAGGCGGGCTGCTCGGAGATCTGCCGTGGCCCGTTAGACGGGAAGTCACAGAAGCCGAAGAAGTGGGCCAGCGGGGCTGCTTGGGCTCAGGAAACAGGTCACAGAGCAAAAGAAGGGCCCTGGGGACAGGGCCGGGGTAGCCCTGGATGAGGTGCCGTTGCCTGCTGCTCCCCTGATTGCAAGTCTCCAGGAAAAAGAAAGGAGATATGCACCTGAGCAGGAAGGGTGAGGAAAGGTGGGGAAGGTGCAGGGGTGCTCCAGGGAGGGTGTGCCCTGGGGCCTTTGTCTGGAGGACTCTCATCTGTTTTCCAAAGGTAGGGACCTTAGGGAAGGATCTCAGGGGAATATTTGCCAGCATCCAGGTGTTTCTTTTCATGTGCTGATTCATCAGAATGAGCTTTTGGGGTCAGGCCTGACTGATTGGCTGGTGCTAGGGCAGGGGGTCCTTGGCCCTTACATCTGATCCTGATGTCAGCTATGATATCCCTTCATCTGGTTTGCTGCTTTTCTGGGCCTGGCGCTGAAACACAACTGAGGCCGAGATGTCCTCTCTAGTTTGACCAAAACTCTGTCTCTGTTGTCAGCAGACCCAAGGCTCGTTCCTAAGATCATCTGGTGGAGATCAGAACCTCCTTGTCCTGTGGCTCGGTGCTTAAGGGAGTGGTTGTGGGAGGGAGAAGGGGGCAGGGAAGTCAGGGTGCCCGAGGAGGCCAGTCTGTCTCAGTTTCCCCATTCGGCTTGCCAAAGAATTTTCCTAGGTTCTTGCTCTCCTGCCTCAGATACATTTAGAAGGTATGTTGGAGGAGAAGACTGAGCTCTGTCATCTCTATTTCATGGATGTGTGCCACCATCTCAGCTGTGGTAGGCAAACAGGTGGCCCAGAAATTAGCTCTTACGTTTCCAGACACCAGAGAGAGCAACTCTTAAATAGACTATTCACTGTAATGATTGGTCAGCAAGAATTGTTTCTGTGAGCTAAGCGTGGAATAGGGAACTATTCTTGTATTTGTGAACTTGTACCCGTTAGGTAAAGATATCTTTTGTAGGGTTTGAAAAATATTATTAGTGCTTAGTAAATTAACCTTTGAGCTCTGTAACCCACTTGACATTAATGAGATTTCATGTTAAATTTTATGCTGGGAGTTGTTGATTTGGTTTTGGGGATTAATTTATTTCTGCCGCTATACACTCTAAATTAATTAGCAGAATGCAACTCTGAATAAAATGTGCCAGCAGTAATCATTTCAGGATTTTGCCTAACTTCTTTTTTCTTTCTTCATTACATGAAGTTGAAAGAGAACTGTTTTCCTCATTAATGCCTCTGGTTACACTATAATCGTGGTAGACTGCCCCCAAATTAAATCTCTGCTGTGGTCCAAATGAGCTTTTTATTTTACTTTCTCTCTGGTAATTCTCATTGGAGGATTTCTTACAGAAAATCCTTATATTATGCATATTCCTGTACATATGGGTTTCACTTATCTTCTCCAGCAAACTTTTAAGTTTCATATGTTTCAAATTTCCTCCCTTGAGCTAGTGCTTCTGTGTGAACAGAAGTAAAGTTTAGGTTCATTTTATAGAATTGAGTAATTGTTTCACAGCCTGCATTTTTTGATATTTTTCAATAGAGTTGATTTTTTCTCTGAATGAAGTTGTATTCTGTTGACGTGCCCCATTTCTTACCGTGTTTATATTTTTAGTTCTGCGCTTGGATTAGTTGATGACATTCAAATCATTCAGCACGCCTTCTCAATTAAGATTCCAAAGATGAACAGGAACTGAATGTGTGGCGTAAAATCTTATTTGAATAGCATTTTGCTGCTAGTAAACATGAACATACTAGGCTTTAGAAAATGTAACTTCAAACGTTTAAATAGTGCAGTAAAACCTGATTTCTTACACGTATCTACAGATACAAATGACACATTAGGGATTTCATACACTCTGAGGATATAGTAATGAATAAACATTGTCCCTGCCCTTGGAAAGCTCTTGCCTAGTTGGGAAGGCAAATAGACAAGCCAAAAAAAATCTTAATGTCAATATATTATGGTAAGTGCATTAAAGTATATCTCTAATGCTGTGAATGTGTAGGGGAGGGTTAGTACACTGTCTTAACAGGATTTTACTTACAGCAAAAATATTACATGTCAAGGAAAATATAGAAGAATATCTTTGTGACCTAGGAATAGACAAAGATTTCTTAAATCTTAATCATAAAGTGACAAAACTGAGAAGGTAGACTAATTTAGAATTTAAGAAATTCTATTAATGAAAAGACACCATTGAGACAATGAAAAGGTAATCTTCATAATATTCATAATTCATATATCTAGTAAGAAACATTTATCCAGAATATCTAAAGAATCTTTACAAATAAGAAAGACTGGCCACCAACAGAAGAATGGGTAAAAGACACGAACCGACATTTCATGAAATGAGACACTCCCATGGCCAACACATGCCTGAAAAGGTGTTCAGCTTCGTTAGCCGCTGGAGAGATGCAAACTAAAACCACAGAGAGCATCACCAGTTTTGCTAAAAGGAAAGAGGCATGCGATACCAAGTGTTGGCGCAGATGTGGAGAAACTGGAAGTCTTATAATTGCTTGTTAGAATATAAATTGATGTAACCGTTTTAGAAAATCTTTGGCACTTTTTTTTAAGTCTGCACATAGGTCTACCCTACGTTATAGCAATTCTACTTCTAGGTGCGTTCCCAAAAATGTGTATGTTCACTGAAAGGTAACTACAACCACGTTCAGGGCAGCACAGTTAGTGTTAGCTCCAAATAGGAGAGTAGCCAAATGCTCATCGATAGAAGAAAGGGTAGAACAGTTCTGATGCATTCACCCATTGTAACACTCTGGTACATAAGCGATGCAATGACGTTGCGCTAACAACGAGTTGGACAGTGTTCATCTACTTGCAAGAATATGAATGAATTTTGTTGAAGGGAAGAAATCAGACAAAAGAGAACATAATTCCATTCACCTAAACTTGCAGGGGTGTCCAACCTTTTGTAGTCTCTGTCTCACACTGGAAGAAGACGAGTTGTCTTGGGCCACACTTTAAATCCATTGTGACACATGATCACACACACACACACACAAATCTCACAATGTTTCAAGTAAATTTACAATTTTGTGTCGGGTCACATTCACAGCCATCCTGGGCTGCGTGTGGCCCACGGGCTGCACGTTGGACACCCCTGATTAAAACAGGCAAAATTCATCTGTGCCGCCAGAAGTCAGGAGGGTGTTGATCTCGGTGTTGGTGTGCGGAGCTGAGCACAGAGACCTAGCTGGGATTCTGGCCTTCTGTGTCTGAGTCTCAGTGTGGCCACGTGGGTGTGTGGACATTGATCCAGCTGTACACTCACATACCCACATTTTTGAATATACCTTATACTGCAGTAAAAGTTTTCTAGGAAAGCTCTCTAAGCCTGGATTGCAGACAGAAGGAAGTATTGCCTTTGCATCATCCAACTGTGAACGTACTATCCTTTTTCCCCTTCTTTATTGAATTTATCAAACCACCCTCTGTGAGATTATAGTCATTTTATAATGCGGAAGAATAAATGACCTTAAATAAATACAAATATCAATGTTTGTGTGTGTCTGAGAGAGAGAGAGTTATTGCTGATGTGCTGAAACCCTGCCAAGAACAAGCGGACTGCACATGGTGCTGGCCAGACCTGTGAGGGAGAGGGGAGACGCCCTGGAGGCTGGTGGCCGTGCGCAGCATCTTCAACTCATTTGATCTATAGTTTATTTTTGTGTCAAATGGTATTCTAATGTGTACTCTGCATTGTTATTGTAAAACTTAGAATTGTTTGAGTGAATAATTTATCTCTTAATCTAAATAATGAATATTCTAAACTGTCTTGTCAAAGACACAAACATGAGTGTGGCTCCTTGGCAGGGTATTACACCCGTAAGAAAATACAGAGCCCATCTTTACCTCCTAAATGTTTCTGAAAGGGATTATTTGACTAACGCACGGTGATGGTTTTCCTTTACCAAATTTTCTTTTGTAGACGGGTCATGGAGGAACAATGTGCCAATGGTGCTTAGTTTCACAGTATTTTTTTTACTAGCAGAGATGGGCTTTCTGATTTGTCTGTCTTCATGTCGGGTGACTTTACGTAGTCACATCATCACTCTCTGTCCTTAGGACAGCACACACTTTAGCTCCTCTCGTTTCCTTTTTTACCACAGGATGGAGTCAGCGTCCCCGGCGGCGGCAGCTCGGCGGACCTGTTCCACTGGACCGCCGCCACCACCATGAAGGTCCTGTCCGACACCACGACCACCACCAAAGCAGTGCTGCAGGCGGTCAGCGACGGGCAGTGGTGGAAGAGGTCGTTGACCTACCTCCGACCCCTGCAAGTGAGCAAGGCCTCTCTTTAAAATCAGCTGTGCAGCTCCTGTCGGTCATTTGCACCGCGCTCCAGGTGTTCCCGCTGTTGGCACAGCTCTACCTTCCCTGGATTAGGAGAACGCTCTCTGAAGAAACCTAGGCCTCTCGCAGATAGGAATGAGTCATTCATTTTATGGCATGTAATAGACTCCCACAGAATACTTGCTGAAGACACTAATTTGGTTTAGGTGTAGTTGAGTTTATGTGTCAGAATTTAAGTTCAGTGGGATGAAAAGGAAAATGATTTTATCAATGCTTACTCACTTTTGCTCTTTTTCTATAAGCCAGTAGTAAAGAAAAAGTGCTAAAAGCCCGCTTGAGGGCTATCTTTAGTTTGTTTGGGCCGCTCTAACAAAAATACTAGAGATTGGCTGGGTTAAACAACAGTCATTTATGTCTTACCATTTTGGAGTCTGGGAAGTCCAAAATCAGATTACTGGCAGGTTTTGGTGAGGGTCTGCTTCCTGGCTCACAGACAGCGTCATCTTGCTGTGCCCGCACATGTGGGGCAGGGCGGGGCGGGGTGAGGAGTTGGTCCCACTTATGACATCTCTGCCCTTGTGATCTGCTCACTGACCAAAGGTCTCCCCTTGTAACACTGGCGTTTTGGGGCCTGGGCGAAGGGCACAGTGTACCAGACTCTCCCCTCTATCTGGGAGTGGATGTCAGGACAAGCAGTGGGCCTATTGTTTGGTTTCTGTGACATGCCAACCGTGTCCCTTCTGTCTCCTCTGTACCCTCACACTGCACTCCTTCAGTCTCAAACGGGAAAACTAAGAGGACAAAGCCATGTACTTGTAAGGTCATGCCAAACACTCACGTGGCTCTCTCTCTCACTAGTTAATTCATCCGTCCGTTTATTCTGCAAATACTCATCAGGCATGTTCTGTGTGTCAGACACTGTCCTCATCTTGGGGAACCGGGAAACACTTCAGTCTGTTCCCGTCCCCTGTGGAACCTATAGTTCAGTGGGAGTTACAAAGAAAGCAACAAAAATGTGTTGTGTCATACGTAATGGCAGGCGGCGATGCGCACTGTGAACACAAGCCAGGTGAGGGAACGACGACTGATCCTGGTGGGGGGGGGAGGGGCGAGTGCTTCTGTAGAAGGGGAGTTAGGCTTCTCAGAAGGGCTGTCGCTCTGAGCAGGGACCTGATTGAACCGAGCAGGACGAGTACAAAGCCTTTGCAAGGGCATGTGCTCAACATCTTTGCAGAACAGAAGGGAGGCCAGCATAGTATGAGCAGAGGGAGCAATGGGAAGAGCCGTAGGAGTTGAGATCAGAGAGGGGAGAAGAGGACAGCCATACAAAGCCTCGTATAAGGACCACAGATTTTATTCTGCATAAGACGGGAAGCTGTTAGAGAATTCAGGCAATGCAGCTTGTGGGATCCAGCTTTCCCTTTATTAAGATCATTCGACTACTGTGTCGACACCTAGCAGTAGTGGGTCAGGAGTGGAAGCAAAAAGATAGGTTTCTATCCCAGGGCCCTGGGTGAGACGTGGTGGTTGGGTAGCCAGGGAGGAAGTGGAAAGTGGCTGGTTTGGGGATGTGTTTCTTGGACCTGCTCATGGTCCGTATGTGGGATATGCAGGAAAGGGGAGAACTCAGGCTGATGGCCCACACAGCTGGCTCAGTGAAGGTACCGTTGACTAAGAAGCTGTGTGCGTGACTGTGGGGTGGGTCGGTACTTCCCTTATTATTGCATGTGTCCAGCTGGATTAAAGTTATGGTTACTTTTCTGTCTCACCTCTTGGACTTTTTGAGGGTACATGTCAGGTAAAATGTTAACGTTGTGCCTACTGTATGGTTTTTATTAAGTGCCAGCTGTCACTTCTATCATCATGGGCTGCAGCAGCCTCACTGTGTCCCTAGGCTGTGCTTGACATGAAGTCAGTGCTCAGTAAACTTGGGAGGAGCAGGTGAATGTCTGCTTGGCTCTTCCAGTTAGGACCTTTACAATCTATTTGAGGAGAGCCCAACAGAAATATAATTACCCAGGCTAGATATACTAAAGTGTTGTACTTGCTAATGAGGAAAGCTGATGGCAAGTCTAAAAGGCGTTTGTGTGGGGTGTCGCTGTGCAGGAGATGGACTGAAAGGGGCACCGGTAAGGTTTCAGAAGGTGAGGTCTGAGGTGCGCCTGGAAGGGGAGGAGGCACCTACGTAGGCCGACAGCATGGACAGAAGCCTGGTGATGGAGGAAAGCCATAGGGCTAGGACGCGCGAAGTAGACCAGTGTGGTTGGAGGGAAGAGTTCACCTTTAATGTGAGTTGACATTTACTAACTTAAATGTTATTCTACAGAGTTTAGACTGGATACTCTCGGCTGTTTGCATTGTTCAAAGCTGTTTTTTGAGCAGGGGAACAATATGTACAAAATGATGTTTTAGGAACATTATTTTGACTGGAGTGTAGAAAACTTGTTATTATATGTGTAATACCAATTGCTTCTGTGTTTCTGATTCATTTTTGTCCAAGTGACCCGGGAACTCAAAGGCACTGCAGGGTGAGGCTGAAGTGCTGCTCCTGGAATGTAGCTATTCCTCCTCCGTTCTCTGCTGGGCTCTGTGTCACTCGGACACAGCTTCCTTAGATCACCCAATGCACTCGATTGTTACTCCTGACACCCCCTCCCTCCCCGCTTCTCAGATCTCTCTCTCATCTACCACTTTCCACTTTGTTCTATTTAGGGACAAGAATTTGGGGATGCTCATCAAATTGGAGCCAGAGCCAATGAAGGTCTAGAAAAACAAGGCTGTCACCCTTTTTATGAATCCGTCCTCTCCAGTCCCTTTGTCACAGAGGTAAGGACGGTGTGCCACAGGGCATGGGTTTAACTGTCGTGGGCGTTTCAGTGTCACAAAACCTAAAGTTTTTCCTGAAAATGTACTTCCTTGGCTTCTTTCTTAATCATGTTACTCATTGGTTTTTATGAGATTTGTTTTATCTACATTACAACATACTGTTGTATTAGATTAAAGGTAATTAAAAACTTTACACAAAATAATATGCCTTAGTAAGGGAGAAGTTATAACTGAAGTCACAAGAAGATATAAAAGGTTATAATTGTGTTTTCTAAGCATACCTTTGTATGCTTAGGACACCCTACTGAACGGTGTTCTTCTTTTGCCTAGTCTGAAATGACCTACAGCACCTATGACCAGGTCCCACCAGAAAGCTTTGCGGAGGTCCTGCTGAGAACTGGAAAGCTGGCGGAAACTAAAGCGGAAGGAGAAGAAGTGTTCCCAGCAACAGAAGGTATGAAAGAAGCCAGTTCCCTGACGGGGAGTCATTCAGATCAGGGAACAGTAAGTAAAACTGTAAATGAATGAGAGGAAGAACAATAGTAAGTTTTTCAGCCATCTTGAATAGCTTAACTTGACACTATCATTCATATGTTTAAAACATTACCTTCTGCTTTCCAGATACTTACTAATATTGAGGATTTAAAAGGATACATACGATACAATTCTTATTTTTAAGCTGCTAATTATCTAAAGTGATTCTTGTAACGAGCGGTATAAAGTGCTCAGTAAACACTTCTTTCTGATTTTGTGTGGTAGTAACTCTGAAGTATTTGCTTCATCTTAAGAATTTTCCACATGATGGTATATCTTTCCATGTAGAGTTTTTTGAAAAGAGTTAAATGTATGACCATTTCCCAAACACCCCTTTCCAATTACTTTTTTTTTCTCTTTAGTCTCCTCCCTTCTTTTCAAGCTTCCAGGGTAGTTTCTGTGCCTTTGTCTCTCAATTCCCTCTCTGCTCCGCCGTCCTTAGCGGTCGCCTCCTGATTCACGGGCCGCTGGGGCTGCAGCTCCCCTGCCTGCCTTCCAGGCACCTGCGGGAGGAAGGCCCGGGCGGGGCGGGCGGTCGCCAGGGCAGTCCCACCCGCAGCCTCCACGGGCAGGCCACCGGGCAGTGTGGTCTTCCACGCGAGCGCACGGCTGTGTGGATCAACACTTGGGAAAATGCGTGTGGGGAGTAGAACCGCCATTCCCCAGAAACCTGGTACTATAATTTATTTATAAATAATGATGAAAAAATAAATTAGCATTTCTACGTAGTCGGGAACAGGGGACGCAAATACTGCTTCCCGAGCCACTGTGCGGGCACTTGAATGGCGGTACCCGTTTCACGGAGTGGGCCGTTTTTCCTCGTGCTCTGAGACGCGTGTTTTTCTACCTCATAGCATTTCTGAAATCAGAGTAAACCTCACAGTTGATGGGTACATTTGTGGGGTTTTTTTTCCCTTCGAAAGCTATTATATTGCAAATGATACTGAATATATGTGAAGGGTATAGATGCATTGCTGTTCTCCCTTTTAATCATTCTTTACTACTTCCTGTTTTTTCTCCTCTTAAAATTTGTCTTTATGTTTTTCTAATTTCACCGACGTTTTTCTGGGGTCTGCGAGTGACTCTGACTCCTGGAGGGAAGAGCACAGGCCGCCCCCCACCCCCCCGGAAGCCGTGAGGCTGAGGGGCTGGGGCAGCGTGGCGGGCCCTGCGCAGGTTGGGCACCGCAGCGAACCCGCTCGGGAGAGCCGCGGGGGCCGAGCAGAAGAACCGTGTTGAGCGTTTCTTCCCTTCAGCTCGTCTCTCAAGTGAGCATGGCAGCCGCACGCTCTGCCGCTGGCCCGCTGTGCCCCGGGATGGCGATGGCCCGTCTGTGTATTGTGCCCGTTCTTAGGTGGCACTGGCCTGGCTCCTTCCTCACTGTCACCTCGGGCTTCTTTCACCCCAGTTACCATCCTCCCTTGTTGCGAGGCCTGGCTGCAGTCATACTCTGTCCTGGTTTCCCGTTAGAGTTGCTTAGGGAGTTCTTAAGAGCTGCAAAGCCTGGATCCACTGCAGAGCATTTGTTGCAGAGCCTGGAGGGGGCCCACGCATCGGGAGGTCCTCAGGTGATTTCAGTTGCAAAACCAAAGGCAGGCCCTTCGGAAGTTTCACACAAGGTGCCGGATTCTCCGCAGCCAGCGGGTGTCAGCCGGCGTGTTTCTGCGTCGGACTCGGACGCACCTGCCCTCCGAGCCGCTCAGCAGGCCGCTGGGGCTCTTACCCTGGAGGGTCAGACTCGCAGTGCCGGCTCTGTCCCCAGCGCTCCCACAGGCTGTTGCGACAGGTGCACGCAGGGCTCCTGCCTAGCCCCTGGCGCTCACCGACTCTGCGCGATGAGGCCAAAAGTGCAGCCTGAGTGGCAGTCGCGGTGTGGGCCGGGGGCTGCGGCTGCGCGCGGGGGGACGTGACCCCCGCTCCTGGGCCTGCGCATGGCTCCCCCGCAGGTCCCTGTGACCCGGCGGAGCGCGCTTCTTCCACTGGCTCCTTCTGACGTTACGATGTTACTAACTTCCCACCAAGGGAAAGACTCCAGGTCCATTAAAATATTAAAACTCTTTTCAAATATTGTTGAATTGAGTGGGAAAGACGTGTTTGAGCACCTTCTGTGTATATTAATGGGTCTTTAAAAAAAGAGGTGCTTTTAATAATTACATCCCTTTAATTTACATTTGGCTTTATAGTTTATGAAGCATTTTCATAGACATTTGTTATCAGTAATGCTAATATGCCTGAAACAAATGTTTTTGACTATTTTATAGTACCAAATATTTGTCAAAAACTTGGCAAAATTGAAGAGTTATAAAGGCTAAATTGAAAAGTTTAGATTAAAAATTGTAAAAATGTGATTCTTGACTTTGGTTCAGAAGTAGGTTATCATACAAATTACACTTTCCAACATGATCTACTTTTCAGAATTTCTCAATAAAGTAGATGAAAAGGTTTTTGTGAAGACTAGCTGAAGAAAATTGATCATCATTTATTTAGCTAACTGAATGCTTTAATGGCTAATGCTTTCCAAATCAGTGGTGCGGGCAGCTTTCCTCTGTGAGTCCGGCCTGGAACTGAACTGATCCCAGCCAGCTTCCCAGGGGCCTGGGCTTTGCACCGACTCTGGTGCTCGCAGGCCCAGGTGTAGATATTGTCTGAGCCTGGCTGGGCGACTTTTCTACAGAACGCATTGTATTCAGGGTTTGAGAACCAGCATTGCGGATTAAACTCAAATGCACTGATAAATGTAGGGCAGGCCTCTCTCTCTCTCTTTTTTTTTTAATATCGTAATGGTACTGTGCATCACCACGCCGCAGCCTGCAGCCAGGACGACATCCGAGGGCCCCGGTGAGGCCCTGTGGCATCGGTCTGCCTCGGATCCTTGCCGGTGATTTTGTCAGTGTTGCTGCAGGTGGCTTGCTGAGCCAAAGGCTGGGAGGCTTCCTGACTGTGGGGTTTGAGATCTGCTTTGCAAGAATCCTTGCACCTTTTGAGGGACACTGCCCTTGCTCCCCAGGAGCTTCCTGTGACAATCCAGCTGTTAGTGATGGGAGGGCAGTGCTTGGGTCATGAAGATGAAGGAGCTGTGATCCAGTTGGGGGAGAAAAGGATGCCGTGAGGCGACTTGAGCATCATTTGTGTTAGGGATTAGGGAAGAGAGAGGGCCCCTCTGGTTTCACCCTGGGCACATCCGTGTGGTGGTTTACTTGACACTGGTGATTGTTCCGGCTCGGAGCAGTAGGGCGGTCGTGGGCTTTGCGTGGCTGGAAAACCAGCTGACTGAATGCCGGGGACGAGGGGTACCCAGTGTTCAGGCAGCTCCGGGAAAACCCACGTGGGAAATAAATAGCTGCCAGAGAACTTGAGCATTAGACACCGTTACCAGAGAGGATTTTTGTGTCTTTTCTTCACCCCATATTTTATTAAGGAAACTTTCAAAGCACATGAAATTGAGAAAATTCTTCGGTGAACTGCCGTATACCTTTCACCAAGATTCAACAATATACATTTTACCACACTCCTCAGCCCGCCTCCCTCCCCACTGCCCAGCTCGTCCGCTGAACTCACATTATACAAATGACTTAAATTCTAGTCCAAGTAAGACACAGTTTGGGAGGCATATCTTCTGGAAAAATAGTATATGGTCTGTTCTTAAAGTCAAGTACCATTGGATTATTCATATTCTGTTCTCCTTCGTTAGTGCCGATCAGGAGACTCTGTGTTCTTTGAAAATAAAGGGTTTTCCTCATGAGTACGCAGACTGCCTTTGACTTGATTCTCAGGCCTAACTGGGCAGAGCGTGTCCTCGTCTATACAAACTGCTCATCAGCTCGGACTTTGTGGGCAGTGTCCTCTTGTTCATTAAAGCTGTAACCTTTACAAATTGTCACTTACGTGTGTGTGTGTGTGTGTGTGTGTGTGTGTGTGTGTAAAAGCTGTTAGTGGTTGGGCTATTTTACGACAGAATCAAACCAAGAGACTGGTATTTTCGCGGACTGCGATGAGGAGGGGTGTTCCTGGAAGGAACAAAACCACACTATCGTTGCCGTAGTGATCCAAAGGTTCGTCTGAGATTTGCATTCAGAAAGCTTTTCTGTGGCTCTGATTGTTAGTGCCCATAGGGTCATCTTCCACATTTACTGCTGTTGATATATGTAGTTTTATAGCACAGCCTGGGTCCTTTAAATTGGTCCCTTAAATCAAAGGATTAGCTTTAAGAAACCATCTTCATTGATCTGCTTGCACGTGGACTTGCAGCTGCACTAACAGAATTTCCTCATGTCTAAGTAACAGCGTCATTTGTCTGAGTTAAGGCAGGGTTACCATTTGACATAGTTTCATGTGATCTGTATTTAAATGAGACTGAATAGACTTTCAGAAAGTGTCTTAAAAAGTCTTCTGAAGCTAATTGTCGAAACCTTATAGGACTTAAAACATGGTGCTTAGTAACTGCGAATGTCATGCAGATCCTCAAGTAAAATGATGCACTTTTTCCCCGTGTTCAGTTCTTTTGCAGCTAGCAAGTGACGCTTTGCCAAATGACATGACCTTGGCTCTTGCCTATCTCCTTGCCTTACCTCAGGTAAGTTCACCTGTACCACAAAACGAGGACTTAAAAACGAATTAACTAAAACCCTGTTGTTCATTATCATTGTTTACTTTACATAAGCAACTGTGTTCAGTATCCAGAGAATAAATTCTACAATGTTAGTTGAAATACTGATATTAAATCTGCTGTTACATGCATAGAATCTGCCTTTATAGTGTCTTCTGAATTTTATTTTAAAGATTTAATTTATTTATTTTTAGAGAGGAGAAGGGAGGGAGAAAGAGAGGGAGAGAAATATCAGTGTGTGGTTGCATCTCACGCATCCCCTGCTGGAGATCTGGTCTGCAACCCAGGCATGTGCCCTGAATGGGAATCGAACTGGTGAACCTTTGCTTCGCAAGCTGGTGCTCAGTCCACTGAGCCACACCAGCTAGGGCTGTCTTCTGGATTTTAATGTTGTTGAATTAAGATGAGATCGAGTTGATCTGATGGAGACTTTGTACCAAAATTCTACAGTCACGACTAGGTATGTAACAGTTTGTGAGGCTCATGATTTCCTTTCAGCCGAGTCCATCCCACCCCGTTCCCTCCTAGGTGCTGGATGCCAACAGGTGCTTTGAGAAGCAGTCCTGCTCCGCGCTCGCCCTGCAGCTGGCTGCGTACTACTACAGCCTGCAGATCTACGCGCACCTGGCTCCGTGTTTCAGGGACCAGTGTCATCCTCTTTATAGGGTGAGTCCTCTGGGTTCCACTTTTTAAGGAGCAGAATTCAGGTTTTTCTAAAACAGTTCAAACACGTGTTTAACGCTTTAGGGGTACCCATCTGCTTTGTATCCAGAATGCATTCCAAGTGGCTGACAGCCTTTTTGCTTGGCCATGGTTGCTGTTTCAGGTATCAATCAGAGGTAGAGTTTCTCTTGTTTGTTGTGAATGCTGATTCTTCCCTTAACTTTTCTGTCATTTGCTTTATTTATTTTTTTTATACGAAGTTCTTAGGAAAGGCTAAAGGCAGAGCAGACGTGAAGTGAAGAATTGGTCTTTTAATTCACTGCCCAGAAGAAAGGTGTCTCTGTGTAGTTCAGAAAGTTGGGCCACATAATTCTTGTAGCATTGCTCCACTTTTATACATATTTTTAAGCCATAAATATGGGAGTACTAATGGTATACAGATTAAATACTGAAACATATCCTGTTACTTGCCACCAAGCTTTAGACAACTCTTGTGTAACTCCCCTGTTAGTTCCTGAGTGAAGCACCTCACGTGGCCTCAAGTTCCGCGTGCCTCCCTTCATGGACACACGAGGGTTGCAGGCACCCCTGCAAAGCAATGCCTCAGGTTTACTTTACACACCAGGTTGTGAGTTCTCAGCACTGGATGTTATCTGCCTTTTGAATTGGATCATTTTAAGAGAATTACCTCTTTTTTAAGGGAAGACAAGCAAATAGATCAGACTTTCAGATCCACTCTGTGCACCAGTCCAAGGTTCCAGTTTTACTAAGGCCGGTTTTTCCTCCCCTTGACCCAAAGCAGACTGTCAAGAAATGATTTCACATGTGTATCAAAGTCCTAGCTGCCTCGGCTCTGCAAAACATAGCTGAGAGCTTATACATATGTGAAAACATTCTGTTTGTGGCAAACTCTATGGCTCTTATTCATCCATTTCTATTAAAAAGAAGGGGCGGGGTGTAGGAGACTGTCCGCAGTGCAGGTTAATCTCCCAGGACACGGTTGTCATTGTTAGGAGGGTGTCGTTCTCAGACACAGTTTTATTATGATGACATTTGGCTGAGAAACAGGAATAGTTTCTTCTTTTTTAGCCGCTTGGTATAAGATAACTATTTTGGGAATTTTGAAATTTTTTGATAGCTGCTACTTCTTTGTACAGTTACTTTGGTCCATACTCTAGTAATTTTCCTTTTTTTTTTTATGTGTCAGGTATGTTTTTATGTGAAATGAGAAATAGACTTATTGTGTTATAAATTGAAGGGATGAAGTGGTTACATAGGTGGAAGTTTATCTCTGGAGCAGTGTACTTCATCTCTATTACTACAGTCAGCTGGGCGGCCGGCGAAGAGTGTTGTTGGCATGTTTGCTGCTGTCTGCTTCTGAATACCCTTATCTGTTCATCAGTGCTATGTATGCACACAAGTACCAAGTAATTTGCTGCTCCAAAACTCCAAGTGTGTTGACATGCAGTGAAGTGTTACTTTGATGAAAAGCATTGTGTGTTGTTATAAACTTGAAGTTTTTCCCAGCAAGTCACTGTGTTGTCAAAATTTATTCGACTGAGATTTCTGAGTGGACACCATTGACCCGGGATCCCAGTGCCGAGAGGGCTTCTCCCTCTTTAATTTCCCAGTGAAGGTCATACCATGTGCAGAGCACTGTGCTATGTTTTGCAGACACAGACGATGGAAAAGCTACTCAGTCAATCAGTTGCTGCCACTAAACCTCCCTGTGTGTCTTAGACTCCTACTGAGCATGGGGAGGGGGGAGGGGGATGCTGCCTGACCTCAGTGAACGCGCCCTCACTGCGACGCAGGTGAGACAGCTCCGTAGGGGTGCGCGCGAGGAGCACGACGGACAGCCGGCTAAGGCCGACCACCAGCTGGAATGGACAGAAAGCCAAGGCCTTGCCGCAGAGCTGCTTTTGGGTCTGTAACCTCCGGTTTTATTTCCTACAAACATTAATGAAAGTAGGCCTCTCGGAGGAATATTCTAGTAGAACATATATTTTTCATGTTTTCCCTAATAGTAAATCATTTTATACCAAAAATTAAATGTCCCAAATTGTGCAGTTTGTGAGAGAGGTCAGTAAGGAGAGAACCGTTAAATTCCGGCCAACTTTAATACCTGGCCAGCACGGTTTGCTGCTTCCGGCACCGTGGTTACCCTGCAAGAAACCCCGTTCAAGACGTCCGCAGCTGAAGTGTGCAAGGAGATCAAGGAGGAGGCTGAAAGAGGAGGGTTGGAAGGGCAGGTGCGTCCATCTTGCTTTCTTCTGCGTCCCCAGCAGTTCTTTCCATGGGGTGGGAAGTGAGTTTTCCATTTCCAGATCGTGTATGTTGCAGACCCCTTCGCAGACCCAGCACTCGCTGAGTGCTTACAAGGAAGGACACAGAGCTTGGCATTTTAGGATGAAAGATGATGAGACTGTTTCTACCCCGTACCCCAGTTCTGTTTCTTCCTTTCAACTTGTGTCCATCCCAGCCTTTTGACTCTCGGTCTTGTTCCTGTCACCATTTTCCACCACACTCTCCTTTTCTTTGAAGATGTCCCTTGGGCTCCTGTGCCTCTCCCTTGCCCGTAGCCCCCACTTCGTTGTCAGACTGCTCGTCCGCCCTGTGGTGTCGATCCTGACACCTGTCCCTGTTGCATCCTGGGCCCAGTTGCTGCTGTTCAGGGTCTTTGCGTCAGGAAGCAACATTATGTCCGAGTGGCAACAGAGGCCAGTGAAGTCCCTGCGGCCCAGGGGTGATGCCTCAGCAGAAGGCCCCTCCCAGCTGCCCCAGACAGAAACGGACGTGGCCCTGGCAGCACGGAGATCGCACGGGCCAGGCCGCAGGCCGGCTCCTTCCCCAGGGGCCGCTCCCACCTCTGTGGGAAGCACTTGGGTGTTGGTTCAGAAGGTGGAATAAAGAGTTAGAAAGAGCTCGCTATGTTTTTAAGCATCGAGCTGCAGAGACACCCTGGAAGCCTTCCAGAGAGCCGTGTCCGGGGGAGCACCTGAGCCCTCCCCAGTTTGTCTCCCCTCTCCATCCGGGCCCTCACGTTAAAATTCAGCCTTCCATGGCTCTTCATCTTAACTGTGGGAACAGCGTCCTACACATCGCCCTGTCCTCATTTTGTCACTTTTGTACCTTCCCCAAGCGCCTGTCAGAGTAGTCCTTCTCGGGGGGCGGGTCCGGCCGTCCTCCCCTGCCGAGTCCTCGGGTGATTCCCAGCAGGCCCGCGAGTCCTCTGCGATCGCGGTCAGTCTCTGCCTCTCCATCGCCCTCCGCCTTCGCTGCAGCCATGGAACTTCTCAGCACCTGTGGTTCTCTGGTTTCCTTGCCTCTCACATGTTGTACTCTCTGCCTGTGATGTCTCCCCTCATTTCTTTGCTCAGCTACTTGGTTCAGGTGTTGCCTTACCTACGCCTGATTCCGGCCACCTGCCACTGTCAGTAGTGTCCCCACACTCTGTGGGACGCTCCCCCTGTGCCTTGGCGCTGCCCTGTACTTACCTCGGCCACAGCACTCTGCTCTGTGATTTTGAATTTATATACTTTCCACCTGAAGTGGAGAAAGAGCTGTTTGAGGCTAGGGTCTGTGTTGTAGTTACTGGTTTTCCCCAAGGCTTAGACAGGACCTTGAACAGAAAGAATAGTAAACACGTTCACTGGGGAAGTGACCAAAAATTAATGAACAATTTGTCGATACATATGTGGTGATTGAATTATGTGTGTGTTTTCATCAGATATTTATCATGTGACTACTTCATGCCAAGTAGTGTTCTAGATCCTGGGAAAACAGTAGTGAACTAAGTGTATAAAGCCCTTGTCCTTTTCTACTGGGGAAGGGCACCATAAAAAAATAAGTCAATAAATTATGTACTCTGTTAAATGGTGGTAAGAGTGCTGAAGGATAAGAAGTAAGTGAGTGAGTGTGTGTGTGTGTGTGGTCTATCTGAAAGGTACAATTTATTTTTATTTTTAAAAGATTTTATTTATTTGTTTTTAGAAAGGAGAAGGGAGGGAGAAAGAGAGAGAGAAATATCAATGTGTGGTTGCCCCTCACATGCCCCCTACTGGGGACCTGGCCCACAACCCAGGCATGTGCCCTGACTGGGAATCGAACCTGTGACCATTTGGTTCACAGGCTGACATTTGGTCCACAGAGTCACGCCAGCCAGAGCTGAAGAATAAAATTTAAATAGGCTCAGCAAAGACCCAGGTTCAGAAGGTGACCTTTGAGTAAAGACAAAAGGCTGAGAGTAGCACCATGTGCATGCGTGGAGGAAGAACAGTCCAGACAGGGACTAGCAGTGACAAAAGTATGGACGTATCACTGTACCTGGCATACCACTGTGGTGTTTTCCCAGAGTGTTTGAGGTGATGTTGACAGTTTACTGTATAAAACTCAAGGCCAGAAGAGCTGCCTGACTCTAGAGGGAAAGGGTAGAAAGGCAGTCCGTGAGCAGACTCCACTGTGACTGAGCAGGGTCTCTTCTGTCCCACTGAGAAAGTGTCAGGAAGGGACCTGACAGCAACAATCAGTTTAGGGACTTGTTTATAGGAGCTGTCAGTGGACAGTACAAAGATCAGAATGACCCTTATAAGGCACTGGCGGTCTTAGAGTGCCTTTCCTATTCATTCTGCCACTTGATCCTTTGACCAACCCCATTTTGCAGAAGGAATTTCTTTGCAGAAGATGAGACTTGGAGAAATCCGGCGCCGTGCCCAGGGTTGCCCTTGTACAGCGCCGTCCTCTTGCTGTGCGGTCCTGATGCCGGGCTCTGCCTGCCGTTCGTGTGGACATGCTGCCGCTCTGGCCTTGTCTCAGAAGGAGCCGGGACCCTGGGTTTGGGACCTGAGTGGTCTGCGGCAGGCAGGACGGAGGGGCCATTCCCAGCAGGAAGTTTTCCTGTGCATTGCTGTCTGAGCTCCTGTGGGTGACAGAGAGGACCCTCACTCAACCGGCTGGCTCCTTTTGGCCCACCAGCCACGATCCTGACACTAGCCATTCTGAAG